AGGCATCCCAGTGTCAGGGCATCCCAGGGTTTGGGCTCCCCTGTGTCCAGGCATCCCAGTGTTTGGGCACCCCTGTGTCCAGGCACACCTGTGTCAGAGCATCCCAGAGTTTGAGCATCCCAGTGTTTGGGCTCCCCTGTGTCCAGGTATCCTGGTGTTTGGGCACCCCTGTGTCCAGACACCCCAGTGTCAGAGCATCCCAGTGTTTGGGCATACCTGTGTCCAGGCACAGCTGTATCAGGCACACCTGTGTCCAGGTATCCCAGTGTTTGGGCACTCCAGTGTTTGGGCACACCTGTGTCAGGACACCCCTGTGTCCAGGTGTTCTGATGTTTGGGCATCCCAGGGTTTGGGCACCCCTGTGTCCAGGTATCCTGGTGTTTGGGTGCCCCAGTGTTTGGGCACTTACGTGTCCAGGTATCCTGGTGTTTGGGCACTTGTTTGTCCAGGTGTACACCTGTGTCAGGGCACCCCTATGTTCAGGCATCCCAGTTTTAGGGCACCTCGTATGTGGGCACACCTGTGTCTGGCTGTCCCTGCTGCTCACTGCTGTGCCCGTGGCTGACTCTGCTCCCTTTGCAGGCTGTGGATGACTTGCTACGCTGTGGGATTTGCTTTGATTACTTCAACATCGCCATGATCATCCCTCAGTGCTCCCACAACTGTGAGTCCTGCGGCTGTGCCGGGATGGGATTTGTTCCTCAGTCCCACTGCCTCGTGTATGAACTTCATCAGTGTGAGCTGTGGAAAGGCTGGGAGAATTGGGATTGCCTGGGTAAGATTTGTTCCTCAGTCCCACTGCCTCGTGTATGAACTTCATCAGTGTGAGCTGTGGAAAGGCTGGGAGAATTGGGATTGTTCAGCCTGGAGAAGGGAAGCTTTGCGGTGGCTTTACAGTGCCTGAAGGGAACCTGCAAGAAACATGGAGAGAGACTATTGACAAGGGCCTGGAGGGACAAGACAAGGGAGAGTGGCTTAACACTCCCAGAGGGCAGGGTTAGCTTAGATATCAGGAAGAAATTCCTCCCTGTGAGGTGCTGAGGCACTGGCACAGGTTGCCCAGAGCAGCTGTGGCTGCTCTATCCCTGGGAATGTTCCAGGCCAGGTTGGACATGGCTCAGAGCAACCTGGGCCAGTGGAAGGTGTCCCTGCCCATGGCAGGAGGTGGAATGGATGAGCTTTAACATCCCTTCCAACCCAAACCAGTCTGGGATTCTCTTTGGGATAGAAGCAAACGGAACCTTCCCTTGTGCAGTTCCTGCTGCAGCACAAACATGTGGTGCCTGGGTTAATGCACTTAACATGCCGCCTATTCCTACAATTCTCCCTTAAAATATCTTTCATAACATCTTGAGGGTGGAACAAGTGCAAAGCTGTATGTGGAGAGCATTGTGAGCGAAAATTTTCCATGCTGCCCTGTCTGCCTCGGGCTGATATCTGCTGGAACCTGGGCCTGAGCTGTTTGCCAGGTTAGGGGGAAGCACGTTGCCTTTTCTCATGTTAAAATAAATGCTTGTGATTGTTTGGGTCAGCAACTGTAGCACTTCCTCTTCCTTCCATGAAGGAGGTCATTGTAGTTTGGCAGTGAGGTTTGGTTTGGCTTGGCAGAGCTGTCCCCATTGAACCCAGCGTGTCTGTGGTGGGGAGCACTGGAAATTCTCTGCACTCGCCTGCCCATGGCACAGAAGGCTTCAGAGCCCCTTAACTCTGCAAACAATCTCTCTGCTTTCTTTTTTTTTTTAGCAGATTACACATTTAATTTCCCCATGCAAAGCCCTAGTTTTCTGCAATAGATCAAAATTTCTTGGAGTGTTTTCTGCTTACTTGTCTCTGTAATCTCTTGAGTCGACTGAGGTTGGATAACTGGAGCCAAAGGCACTGATGAAGAATTGTGAATGGATGACAATGAAATGCATTTGCTTTCAAAGTTTTTTTGCTGATTCTCTTTTTCTTAATGATCTGTTTCAGGGCTTCTAGACATCTCTGTAATCTGTTTGCCACTTAAAATTCCTCCCCTGCTCCTTCTCAGCTGCCTGGAGCATTGAGAAGCTGATGTGACAGTGGTTGTTTGACTGTCACGGTGCTTTGGATTGTGTCTTCAGTGACAGAATAGATGTGCCATTCATACTTTTTTTTCCCATGTAATAAGAGCATCTGAAGGTGAAGTTTGTTGGGCTTTAAGTGTTAATTAGCACATCAAGGCCAGGTTGGATGGGGCTTGGAGCAACCTGGGTTAGTGGAAGGTGTCCCTGCCCATGGCAGGGGGTGGAATGAGAGGAGCTTTAAGGTCCCTTCAAACCCAAACCGGTCAGTGGTTAATTAATGCTCATGCTGCTTTTCAGCCTCATTCCCAAAGGGTGTTTGAAATACAGATCTGCCTCGGGAGCTGCTGCTGAGCGTGTTAAGTGCTGAGACTCTGACCCATAATGATCTAGTGAGTGAGCATCTGTTCTACTGGAGAGGGATGAGACTTTATATCTTTAAGTGGCTGTGAAAGCTCATAGATAAGCTGACAAAGTGGAGCAATTTCAGGAATTTACTGCGACAAAATGAAGCTTATGGTGTGTTTCACCACAGAGTCTGTGAGGCATCCTGCGATGATGACACGACTTGCTTTCCCTGGGAAGCATTTAAACTGTCTATCAGCATTTCAGGGCTGTCTCCCATCATTTTTAGCCTTTTCCCTCAACGACAGGTTGGTATTACTTTGGACAGGAGCAGAAGAGCCTGGGAAAACGAGGAGATAGAGTTTGTCTGGGGCTGTGCAGGAAAGGTGAGGGTGATCCAGCATTAGTCACGTCACAAACGCAGCAGTGCTGGGGAGTGAGCAGTGTTTGCACTCAGTGGGGGTGGCTGACTGAGGGTTCCTTGTCTTGTATTGGGAAACAGAAGGAAACCAACATCTGCTTTGGACCCAGCAGCTGAGATTAGGTGTTGAAACACATTTGCATGAAATATGGGGTTTTTTTGGTACAATGATCATCATTGTAGCATGGAAATGATAATCATGTAGTACCGTGGAAAATGGTGTATTTTCAGTGTTGGTGCATTGTGGAACAGTTTGCACATACTGTGCAATGAGATGATGTACAAGTAAGGATGTGGAACTGCCTCTGGAGGAATGTCTGCCTCAAAGTGATGCATTTCCTTTTTCCAGATTGTTCCCTCTGTATCCGCAAGTTTCTGTCCTACAAAACTCAGTGTCCAACATGCTGTGTGGTAAGTGGTTGGGTTTTTTCCTCAGCTTGTTTTTGGGTTGGTTTTTATTTTTGGCAAATCTCAGGAGCTTTTTTCTTTGCACGATACTAAATATTTAATTCTGGTCACATGTTACCACCTTTCCCTTTGGTGAGCAGCTCTTTGGGCAAGGTGAGGTGCTCTTACAGCTGGAATTCTGCTCCAGAGATCCTCAAACATGAGGTTGAATGTGCAGAGCCCTGGAACAGGTTCAGGCTGTCCTGCAGGTGGGTGGTTATTTGGGTCTGCCTTGAAGCCCTTTTGTGATTGAAGAACACAGAATGCAATTGTTTCTAGGCCTTAATCTAACTTTTCACCTCAAGCCAATTGAGCTCTATCGACCTCCTAAAATGGTCAAAACCAGCAAATGTGCTTCAGGGATATTGGCAAAAGGGAAGTCATTTTGGTCTATGTTCCAAAGCATGAACTGAATGAGACTTTTCAAGCCTGGAAAATGGATCTGTTTGTAGCTTTGCCAGTTTTAAACACCCAAACAAGTGCAGAGTACTCAAATGAGTCCATTTTACTGCCACCTGCTTAAAGCTCATAGGTATTGGTGTGACAAAGACTAATCACAACTTGGCTAAAGGGAAGAGCAGAGAAACAGCGAGATAAAAATCAGAAATAGTTTTAAAAGAGTGAATTGAATGCACAAAGCCATTTCATAATTCACATTGTCATTCCATAATCAGAAGGTTAACATTTCCCTTCATCAGTTTTCATGCTTTGGTGCTTCATGTTCTTATCACCTTCATCAGGTCCTTGGTTTGATTTCCAAAATAGTTAGGTCTGTGCTGCAGTAAAACCCTGTTGGAGCCTGGGTGCACTGGGCTCTCTGGCTTTAGCTTTATGCTTCATTTTTATCCATTACCCTTAATTTCCCAGACTTACAGTTCTCAGGCACTTACTTTAATCTAAGATATTTTCCAGGAAAAAATGTTTATCCCTTTAGGCATCTTTGTTCCCACTGCACATTAGTAGGGGTAGTTGAGGCCTTGAGCCAAGAAACAAGTTATTGATGACTTGAACATTTTCTGGGCACTTGTTGTTTTCACTGCATTTGAATGTTTGTTTATTTGGGGCTTTTGTTTGCTTTTTCTTTCTTTTTTTTTCTAACAGGCAGTGTCGGAATCTGACCTGAAAAACAACAGGACCTTAGATGAGATAGTGAAGAGCTTCAGTTCTGCAAGGTATAACTGTCATTTTGTGGCTCTCTCTCTGGTCTGGAAGGTGGGACTGACTGTGTGTGACCAGGCCTGGAGTCCTTGGGGAGGAGCAGTGTGAGGACTGAGCCAAACAATTGTGGTGTCACAGAAACCTTGTCAAAAATGAAGGTTTATGCTTTTGGAAACATCCACCAGTTTTCTGAAAGTTACTCATTGCTCAGGTGATGTGAAGCTCATTTTGGTTCTGCTTTTGGTTAGTTGCACTTACAGTCTCTTCCCACATGTAGGAAGTCAACAGATGTGTCAGCCTTGGTAAGAAGCAGCTCAGTGACTTGCTGGGGTGTCTTTGGGAGTCAAATGCACTGTCATCTCTTTCTCTGAGATGAACTTGGAGCTTGCAGTCAGTGAGTCTCTTGGCTCCAGAAGTGGCATGAAGCACACTTCAGCTGATGACTTTCTTCCTTGCCTTTCTCCATGATGAAGATCTAAGCTTCTCTATGATCATGACTAGATTGAATTGATTTATTTGAATAATTTAACTCCTAGAGTTTTGTGGGTTTAGCTTGAACTCTGCCTTTGGTGTTTCCTAGTGATAAATGGATTACTATATTTTTGGTGCTGTCTAATTTTGTGGAGAACAAGTAGTGCTGACTTGGATCCATTACGATATTGAATCTTAGATGTTAATATTTTTTTGGCTGCTTTAATGGATCAGTATAAATCTTACCGGTGAGAGTAGTTTAATAACCTTTCCTTTTGTGACTTGGAGCTCAATCAGTTTCTCACCATAAAGTCAGATCAATAGGACTGTGGTGCCTGGGGTGGGAGGAGCTGGTGCAGGGCTCAGTTTGCATCTGAGGGAGAAAGGCTCATTAATAACTGCTTTAATGAGACAGGCTCATCAGAGGAGTATAGATAATGAGGCAGTCTGGTGTCAGTGCAGGTGCTGAGCAGCTATGGCTGTGCCTCTCACCTGGGACACTGCAGATGGCCCTGGGCTGAGGGGAGCACTGCTTGCCTGGAGAGCATTACGTGGTACAAGTATCATGAAATCATCACACCATTGCTGCTTTCTGCCCTGGTGATGTTGGTACAGGACACATCTGCCTTCCCCCTCCTTCCTCCACGTGCTTTGTTTCCCCTTGGTCCTCCCCAAAATAAATCCAAAGTCCAGGAGTTGAGGAGCTCAATATTTTTCAGAAATCAAGTCCATCCTGACTTGACTTTGAGCCTTGAATAGTTTGGTGTTTATGAAAATTGGGCCTTAAATCTTCTCAGCATTTGACAAAGTGCAAACCCATTTCTTAAGTCAGGCCTGGAGAGGAAAAAAATGATTATGTTTGTGGTGCTTAGCAGAGTGAAAGCTGTGTTCCAAGGTCAGTCAGCATGTGCAGGGAATGGGAATCATTCCAGCCAGAGCCGAGTGCTGATCCCATTTATGCTCTGCTCAGCATTAGCCTGTGCCTGAGTGTTTGCAGGATGAGCTGTGGTGGATGTGCTCAGGGAGGGAAGAGTGGGAGTGCTGCTCCCTCTTGGGCAGGGCTGGGCTCTCCTGTTTCCCAGTGAATGTGGAGATGTTGTTTGGTTCATTATGGCTCTGGCCAGGTCAGAAGGATGAGAAGCAGTCTGTGTGCCAGCTATCCTGTAGGAACAGTTCTTTTATCAGCTGCAGTGAGGCCAGTGGCTTCAAAAAGAGTAAGTATAAAGTTTTGTGTGAAGTGTAAAGAGTCAGTTTCACTGTCCTCTGATACAGATATTGTTTTGATAAAATTTGTCAGTATCAGCATCACCTTGTTAGAAAACCTCCTTAAAATTGCAATAGAAATTAGAGTTACACTTGCACAAGCAGAAAAGTAGTCCCTGCTGAAAAGGATCTTTGCTTTTCTTCATCCATGGGGAAGAAAAATGTGTCTTTCCTTTTGAGTTTATGTCTTAGTTTCCTAATCAGGGTTCCTTGACAGGCTGTGAGTCAGAGGAATAAACACATCGACTGTGGGTGCCGAGAGAGCAGGTGCTGTCACTGCTGATACACTGACTGAAGCTCCAGCAGAAATGCAGAAGGAATTTCAAGGAGATACATTGCCTCTGCTGCAGTTAGGACTGTCCTGTGTGAGCTCTTCCTAGGAAGATTCACAACTCCAGCTCTTCCCTGGATTTTATTTATGTGGAAGCATTAGATTCCCAATGACTTGCTCTGCTTCATTGCTGCCTCGGCAAGGGAGAAGTAAATGGGCCATAAAATGGGAACCAGGATCCTGATGAAGGACACTGGAATATTTTTTTGTCAGTTTTGCAGAGCTGAAGGAAAGAAAATTGGCAAGCTGTTTGTGCTGGTATTGAAGCAGAGGAAGTGTGCTGGATGGAGTGCAGTAAGAAACTCCATCTTCAGCTGAAGAAAAGCCGTGTAACTCCCTGCCCTAATCCCAAGCAGAGACTGGGTTGGATGGGTCTCACAGGAGGGTTTGGGAAGTGGTTACAACAGTGGATCTTTCAGCCTTCAAAGGGAAGGAAGGAAGGACACTGCTCATGCTCCTGGGCTGAGTGTTGTCAGCCGTGCCGCAGTCACTGCTCCGTGCCAGGAAGGTGAAATTCTGTCTGCTCAGACCTTTCAGGATGGATAGCAGCCTGTTAAATTCTTGACAGTATCATAGATAATGTTGCAGACCACACACAACACACAGAGCTTTTTGAAAACTCTGTTGAGCCAAGGTTTGCCACAGGATCAGTTCCCAGGGGAGCAGGACAGGCAGGTGATGGCAGAGGTAACTTCACTGCTGCATGTTTCTCTGAGCTCTCTGCATGGTGGGTGAATCTTCCAGTCTGGTCATGCTTGTGCAAGTCACTCCAGGAAGAACTGTCAGAATTCCTGCGAATAATGGGAAGTTTGAGTAATTCCCTCTGGGGCTGAAGGAGGAGGTGGCAGGTGATGTGGGAGAGCTCAGGGCTGTGCAAGGAGTGTACACTGTGCCCTGGCTCTGCCATCCGTGGGGTGTGGGGCCACTAGATGTCATCACCCAGCCAGGGAAGCTGCTCATGGGCCCAAAATACCACATTCTGGGAAAAGGCAGGCTGGGACTGCTCTCTCCTCTTTTGCATTCAGTTTTCTGTATTTTCCGACCAAGAAAAAAGTGTGTTCTGGCAAACAGGTTTTCAAGTCCTCGTCCTAATGTTCTTTCCACTGATTCTGTGCCAAGATCGGATCCCTTCAGAAAGTCTATTCCTGAGTCTCTATCTTTTAATATGAGGAAAAGCTCCCCAGGATTACTTGTAGAGCAATGCTGTGATAAAAGCAACCTTTGTTATCAAATTATTGTTGGGATAGATTGAGTTTTGTGCTGTTTTTCCAGTTTCTCTCTTTGTTTTAGACCAGATCATATTTTACTGAGCCAACTGTCACTACAGAGTCTGAAATTTCCATTCAGGTTTCTCTGTTCTGGCTGCCTTCATGCAAATACAGCACCCTGTGTGCCAAGTGAGTTGGTTCGCTGTCCTGTTGGGCCTTGGAGCTTCAGGGAAGTGCTGTAAGAAAGAATTCCATAGCAGTGCACATTCTGTAGGAACATCCCTCACAGTCCCCTCCTTTTAAAGGAATGGGGTTCCAAATTAGTGCTCCCCAGTTAAAACCTTGCAAGCTGAGGACCCACAGCTGTGCTGCTTTCATGGGCTTTGTCTCCTCAGCTGCAGTGAAGTGTGACACAATCAGAGCTGTAAAACTGTGGCATTTAAATAAGAGCGTGTGCTTGCTGAGCCATGGAATATGGCAGTGCTTGCTGCTGAGTCCTTGGCTCCAGGAGCCTCTCACAGCAGGGTGACACAGCACTTGGAGTACTCTGGCTTGAAACTGGTCATCTGCTGTCTTCAAGGAAGGGGGAAAACTCTTTGTTCTCTGCTGCCTTCCATGGGATGTTTGAGAGGCATTTTATTACATCTGCAAAATGCAGTTTATTTAGTCTGAAGGCAGAAGACAGTGCTTGGGTCCTGCAGAGTGTGGTGAGGCTCAGCTGCCTCCTGGGCCCTGTGGGCTGGGCCGTTCCCGAGTGCTGCGTGCGAGGAAGGAATGGAGGAAAAACTCCATCTGTTTTCAGTCTGGGTTCCTCAAGGAAAAAAAGCTAACACGGCAATGTAACTAACTGCATGTTTTCTTCTGGATGCTCCTAGACAGCAGCTGTTGCAGTTGGTCCTGGATGCTCCACCGAGTCCCTCCCCACTGGCCTGCAGCAGGCGTCCAGCTGCCCACAGCCACATCAGCACTCCTGTTTCCCAGCCAGACCCCAAGGAGGTGCCAGGGATTGACAGCTTCTTGAGGAAGGGAAAAGCCTGCACCTCCACAAAGGCAGATGGCCTGGCAGGGACTGATGAGAAGAGTTTCAAAACTGAGGGACAGCTTGACCTTCACAGCACTTCTGCAGAACTTGGTGGTGAAGACGATGAAGTACGATCACAGCAGAGTCCTGAGTGCACCAAGAATCATGAGCAGCCTTCTACATCAGTGGTGAAAGGAGTCAAGAAAGGTGAGGTGTTTGGGTTTTGGTTGTGTGCTATTCTGTCCCCCAAGTGTGGCTGGCTGTGGGCACTAGTGCCCTCAGCACGTGGCACTCAGCCCATCTCTGTGTCCAGCTCCTTCCCCTCTGTTCAGGTTGCTGCTCGTGCAGGACAGCTCTGCTCCAAGTGTCTTCTTGATGAGGAAACTTGGGCTGCTGCCAAGGAATTAAATGGAATTCAGCTCTTGCAGATTCCTTTGCTTTGAGTAACAGCACTAAAAAACAATAGTTGTGCAACAGACTTGCTGGGTAAAAATGAAGCAATTTCTCTTCTCCTTCCCCCTAATAACTGGACAGACACAGACATTCATTCTGCTCTGGAGTAACCAGATGCAGCTTATTTTATAGCATGTTCTTTGAGGGGAGTGCCTAAACTCCAAATGAGCACAGCAGCAGTTAACATTCTTTTTGCTCAGGCACTCTCCAGAAGGAAGTCATCTGCTTTATTCTTCTGTAATTCTACAGGGTTAAGGCTGATTTATTTGGAAGTGTGGAAATGCCCATTTGTACTAATCAGCCACAATGAAATGACAAGATCCTCTCAGTTCTGACGTGCTGGCAGCCTTCCTATTAACCCAGCTAAAAAGCCCAAATTGAAACAAAAGACCATGTGGGAGTACAACCCTGGTGCTTGTTAGTTCAAATGTATCTGCTCTTTGGTTTAACAACTTATTCAGCTGGAACTCTGAACTTCATATTTATTCATTAGCTGGACAAATCCTGTTGAAAGATGCACCACAGCCAGAAAAGGAGCCTTGGGAAACCTGTCCTGGTTTTAGCACCAGAGCTGCTTCTGTTGGGGATTTGAAACTTGTATGCAATTTTACTGCTCATTTATTTCTGAGCGATTGAAGCTTTCACTTGCTTCCCATTTTATGACCTTTTCGAGTCCTCGAGCATTCACCACATGGAAATCATTTCCACAAATGCAAAGCAGTTGGTCAGAGAGTAGAAGTGAAGGGGGTTTAGTATTATTTGTTCCTGTTCTGAGAACTCAGATGTAACTTCCAGTACAGTCACAGACTGCTCAGAACGAGGGTGTCTTGTTACTGTCCCAACTGTTTGGGATGTTTTAACCTTTGGAATATGTCACGATGGGAGTCAGGAACTGCAAAGCAGTGTTCCAGAGAACTCTCAATCCCCACATTTCATAGTGTTTTTCAGAGGTTGGTTGCTGTTTTGTCTTTTAAATTGAAGCCCATTTCCCTCCCCTGGCACAGAGGGGTTAGTTAGTGTCTCTCATGCTTTTCAGTTAAAATTAGCCTTTTGTTTGCAATGTGATCTGATTGCTGGAGAGTCAACCTGTGTTTATTTTCTGCCTTTACAGAGAATGTTTGTTGGTGCTTCTTGAAAACACCATCTAAGAGTGATGGACTTGGGTGGGTCTGTGCCATGGGGCATTAGTGAGCCTCAGCCCAAGCACAGCATCCACTTATCTGTGCCCAGGAATGAGGGGGAGGCATGGCTGGATCACAGGATTCCTGGAAGGCTGAGTTAGCTTGTGGATTGACAGTCCTGGGAGAGCTATACATTGGGAACATGATATTAGCATGAATACAGCTCGTGCTGTAGTGTTTTGTCAAAATGAAGCAGCTTCCTGGGAGTGAGATACTGCAGAAGTGGAAAGCACTAGCATGGAAATCTGCTGCTGTTAGCCCCTGGGTTTTGTGTAGGGTGTGTGTTACTCTAGATTTTTGTCAGAGATGTCATTCCATCTGACTGCAGGGAAGATGAGACGCGGTCTGATCTTGCCTGGAGAGGGAATTCGGTGTTCTGGAGAGCTAAGCAGGAAGATTCTGGATAGGCATCCCAGATCTTCTAGAAGAAGAAATCAGGAATTCTGGATTGTCATTTTCTTCAATGAGCAATTAGTTCATTTCAAATGAAAATATTTGCTGTTTGCTGTCACATTCACACTAGTAAATTCCTTCTCCCTTGCTTTCAGTGGAGTGTCCTGTTTGTGAGGTTGCCATTGCAGAGCAATATATAAACAAACATCTGGATAGCTGCTTGACCAGGGATGAGAAGAAGGACAGCCTCAGAAGGTAAGGAGCAGCTTTCAAAGCTTTTACATGCATGGGGCTGGGTCTGTGCACTGCTGAACTAAGAACCAGTTGTTGCTGGGTTATAACACCAGTGGGTCGTGTTTGCTGCTGGTTACTGCTGTATAGATCCCTCTGAAATCACTGTGGGGATTGTCCCCTCTCCAGAAAGCATGTGGGTTGCCAGCAGAATTAGTCCTTGGCTTTCAGTGGCAATAGAAAACTGGACAATTTTTCAAAGAATTCAGCACAGGGAGCAGAACTTAGTCTGCGCATTGCTGTCATCACCTTTCTGCTCACTGGCATTAACATTCCCTTCAGCTAACACTGATTCCCATTTTTCACTTGGTGAATGAATCACTTCCCTCAGTTCAGGTGGGCCATGAGACAGTTGCTTTGATAGCTGTCAAGGGAAGGAATAAAAATTACCCCTTTTCCTGCTCACTGTGGGGCTGTGTCCTGCAGATTGGATTTCCATAGGCTTAGTGCATTCCTTTGGCTTTGTGCCTCTGCCCCAGCATTGGTCACGGGCACCACGTTCACATCAGCAGTGAAGGTTTCAGTTTGTTTTACTTACTGCAGAAATTCAGGCCATTTTGATTCCTGAGTGACCAGGCTGAGGGACTGGGAGGGACTTGCACTGCACTGCTTGTTTTTCCAATTCCTCTGAACCTTGAGGTAGAAAGTAATTTTGTGTTAAAGCTCTTGTTTTGCCCAGTCATGCTTAGAGTGCAATCTCTAAAGGGCTTGGAAGATGGAAAAATGGTAAATTAATATTGAAATCTGATGTTGGTTTTTAATTTCCATTTGGGATGTTTTAGTGCTTTCTCTGTTCCTAATAAATGGAAATAAAAGCCAGATCATAGAATCAACAGGGTTGGAAGAGACCTCCAGGATCATCAAGTCCAACCTACTGTGGTCACTAGACCATGGCACTAAGTGCCACATCCAGTCTCAGCTTGAAAACCTCCAGGGATGGTGAATCCACCACCTCCCTGGGCAGCACATTCCAATGCCTGAGCACTCTCTCTGGAAAAAATCTCTTCCTAATATCTAAGCTAACCCTCCCCTGGCAGAGCTTGAGTCTGTGCCATCTTGTCCTGCTGCTGGTTGCCTGGGAGAAGAGACCAACCCCCACCTGACTCCAACCTCCTGTCAGGGAGTTGCAGAGGGTGATAAGGTCTCCCCTGAGCCTCCTCAGGGAATTCCTCCTTGGGAATACCCACCAACATTATGATTCAAACCTGTTGTGAGCTGTTCCCATGTGTCTGTCTGGTGGCAAAGCTGTTGGCCCACACTAGGTCATGCTGCTGGTCAACTGGAATACACAGCAGACTTCTGTAGGACTTCCAGAAGATTTAATCATTCAATGAAATCTTGTCACATTTCCCAAAAGAACCTGAGAAAAGTTTCCCTGAAAAGTGCATTGTGGTAATCCTTCTTCCTGCCAGCTGTGCCACACTGGCTGGGTGAGAGTAAAATGACTTAATGACAACTTTTGCATAAGCCTTTTCTTGGTTTTGTAACCTGGAAATTTATTTTCAACGAGGTAAGCTGCAAGTGCTGAACAGAGTTTTCAAATAGATCTTTTGCTTTCGCAGTGGGAAGCTGTTCACTGCTCTGTAACCCAGAGCAGTGCAGCTCAACTTGGTTTTCTGCAGAAAGAGAAGTGTCTAATTAAGTGCTGTTCCTCTGTAACTAATAAATTACTGCAGTTGCAGAAGATGAGTGAGGCAGCGGATGTGTTTAGGTTTGAGTGTGTCACACCAGGAGATGTAGGGAAGCCTGAGCTAATTTGTGCAGAAGCAACTGTTCTGCTAATTTTAGGGGGCAAAAGTTGCAGTGGGACTTGAATTTTCTCTGGCAGTTTCCTGTAATTAAGATGTTTTCCCCAGCTGTGCCAGGAACGTTGCGTTCTCCTGACAGAGGCAGAGTGAAGGAGCAGATTTGGGATTTAGATGTTCTTCCTCTGAGAGCACTGTTAATTCCCTTTGTGTTAGCAAACCACCCTTTGTCAGCTGGGAACTGTTGCCTTCAGGTACATGGCTATTTCTCTCAGTCATTTTTCTAGAAAACTGAAAAATCTCCTAATTAAAGTTTTGCCTTGAGGTTTTTCATGCTGTTAAAACTTCTCCAGCCGATTCAGGCAAGACGTGGCCAGTACTGGGGTGGGCAACACACATTTCTTTCAGTTATATCTTATCCCAAGTGGGTGAAACACCCTAAATATTTGTCAGTAGTTTGACTCTGACAGGAGGATGAGTGAAACAGTCTGTTTCCCTTTTCTGTGGCAGCTCTGGTCACAAAAGGAAGCCCATGTCGAAGGTTGTTTATAACCTGCTGTCGGATCGGGATCTGAGGAAGAAGCTCAAGGAACATGGTCTGTCTACCTCTGGGAGTCGCCAGCAGCTCATTAAGAGGCACCAGGAGTTTGTGCATGCTTACAATGCTCAGTGTGATTCCCTGAATCCCAAGTCAGGTAAGTGAGAACCTCTAGGGAAGTTGCTGCCATCACAAACCATTTGTCTGCATTCCCCCTTCTGTTAGCTCTCAGGGCAGGAATACCACTGCTTTGACTGTCTGGGAGAAGTCGAGCTGGGAGGATTTATTTTGTGTAAATCAAGATTAATGGAAAACACTCCTTCGTGTCCTGGGGGCGATGCTTCCCTTGGTGCTGCTGCTGCAGCAGTGCCAAGTCTCTACCTCCTTCATCCAGGCTAAATGAAGAGTTCCAGGGTGTGTTCACTGCACTTCAGCTGCTCTGCCCTAAATAGTGCAGAACTGTTCCTCTGTCCTGGCTCAAAGCCTGTGCACAAAGGGGAGTTATTAAACACACACTTAAGATGCAGACATGCAGTTTGGGTGGGAGCAGTGAGCCTCGGGTCACTATGGAACATGAATAGCTGAGCTGCTGAGGAAGCAGAGGTGCCAAATTCCTGGAGTTTGCTTAAACCAGTTTGGAACAGGTTTTATTCCTTCCCAGCTTAATAAGCTTTTGTTCTCTGCCTGTTCACACTGTCTGGTGGAACTGTGAGAACTGCCCACAGCTACCTGGCAGTGCTGTGGAAAATGATGAAATGCAGGAACAGATTTGTAAAAGCAGATGTCAAAATAAACTGTGCAGGGTCCTGAACAGCTGTGGCTGTAGTTAAGAAACACAGTTATGTCTGTTTATAGGCTTTGGATGTGTCCAACATAATCGTTGGAGTAGGCTGTAACTCCTCTGTGGGCTGTGAGCCTGCACACACTTTGTGTTGCCTGGAGTGGTCTGGGGGGGTAAAATAACATAAACGGTAGATGCAAATACTGTGTCTTCATTGAAACATCCAGTATAAAATGGAAACTCTGAATGACATGCCTGTGTGCCACAGAAACACTGTCATGTGCAGGAAAGGTTTCATGGGCTCTGGAAAGGTTTGTCTGGGATTGGAGCCTGAGCTCTCACTGTTGGGGAGCTAATGCTGTTTGTCTCTTGGTGTTTTAAATTCATGGTAGTTCATTCAGTGCTCTTACAGCTTTTTATTACACAGCTCCTGTTTCAGTGATCCCTTTTTTGTATTTCCAAACAGTTGCAGAGGTTGTTAAAGAGTTGGAAAAGAATGAGAAGATTCGGGTTCAGCTCGAGTGTAATAAACCTGCTGAAAATGTGAGTGAATGATCTTTGTTCTCACAGAGGGGTGGCCAGGAGAGGCTGCAGAGTGGGCACCGAAGTGTTTGCCTATTCCTTCATTGTGGGAATTCCCAGATTCCCAGGCTGCATGTTGGAATTCACACATACCATCCTATAACAAACCTGATTGATTCACACCACTCATTTGTCCTGGGCAGTTCTTGAGGCACTGCTGAGCTTTGTGCCCAAACCACTTACACAGGAGCAATTTTTTTTGACTGCATTAAAAGTTCTCAAGAAATGTTCCCCTTGGACACACTGGAGGATTTTGACCCTCCATGATGGCAGTGTGGGGAATATTTTGCTTCCTAGAACTCTCTGGGATTTAGCCAGCAAATTCCATGCCTCCCTACTGACAATAGTACCTGTTCTTCCCCCATGACATTGAGTGCTTTGGTGACTTTTTAAGCCTGTTTGTGGCACAGTGTTAGGAAGTGTTGTATGACCCACACGTGCTGGGTGTTCCATGGGCTTGGTCCTGGTGACTCCATGGATATGTGCTGTGAGTCTGCCAGGAGGTGCTGAGAGCTGGGGAGGGAAAGACAGCTGCCCCTTCTTCCAGTTTTGAGCCTCTAATTTCAAAGTCTTCAGGTTTGTCATCTATTTATCTCTGTTAGAAACATTTGTGTGCTTTCTGTAGAGCTTGACCTTCACAAAGGACCAGACAGAGGAAGAAATAGACAAGATCCACACTGAGTATCGTAAGTAAAGTGCAAGTTTCACTTGGTTTTGCTTTTAAATTCAGTTTCTTTTCCTTTGAACTGAAACAAACACACTGATTGCCAGCCAAGGCATCTCCATTTAAGCACTTTCTGCCTTCCTAGTGTCCTCCCCTGGTTGCTGGACACAGGGAACAGCAGGGCAGGGGGTGTGTGTCCTCCACCTGGGCTGTGCCATGTGCAGGTGTGCAGTGCCTCAGGGAACTCTCTGCAGCAGAACTGCTCTGAAAGGGCTCCCTGAGCCCCAGCCAGGGGCCTGGCCTTAGGCCTTCCTGCTCCTGATTTATTTTCTTGTTCTGTTCTACACGTTTTAGGACAAGAAGATATTAGATTCTGTCTTAATTTTCCTAAGGCAGGTGTTTTCTTGAGTTTGTATTGTTAAAAGGCTTCAAAGTTACCAAGATCTCCAAGTGAAGAACTCAGTCTCAGCAAGCTTAACTGAACAGTTAAAAGTCGAAAAAAAAAATACAAAAAAGAAGGGAAGATAGAAAAGTATTTTAATGGGAACATATGGTTTTAAAATGAATAAAAAGTGCTGACCAAGAGGTAAATGGCGACTGGTGTCAGCAAATTATTTCTCATAAAAGCAATAAGGAGGAAGTCATAGCATGGAAAAAAAACCTGTGCATTCAAACTGGAGGACAGTTGGAGATGAAAAGAGCTCCTGTGGAATGCCATTTCTCCACTGTAGCACAGATGGACTTTAAAAGGCTTCATTACACAGCGAAGGGTTTTTTCCTTTCATGTCACAACACTTGCACCCTGAGTCCCTAATTCCCAGCTGAATGACTGAGTGAATGAACTCTGCATAAGGTCTGAATAAAGAGCCCCAACCATGTACTTTGTGCTGCATTTCTACATGGAACAGAACACACTGGGGCTGGGAACAGCCTTGAGGACAGGCAAGACCAACCAGCTGGGAGAAAATGCTTTTTTCTGCTGCTTTGCACTTCCCCAGGCTCTTGGCAAACTGCACATTGCACTGCTGGAATTCTCTTTGCCATTTATGAGACACCAATTAATACTTTGGCTTGATGAACCTGAGGATGGTTCAGATATTATATATATTATTATATATTCAGAGATAGTAATGCTGGAAAAACTGGAGTGCCAAAGGAATTCCATATCCAGTGTGCAGTGGGTCAGGCACAGCATCTGGGACAGAATTTGCTTTTTGGTAACGGAGTTTTTGGCCTTATGTGATGTTTTCAGCCACTCAGGGAGAGGGAGTTGGTGCCAATGTTTCCTTCTGTGGGGCAGAACTTGGTGTTATTTTGTCATGGAATATATCAAGGAATTTCTTCACTGAACAGAGTGTCAGGGACTGGGATGAGCTGCGCTGGGAGGTGATGGAGTCACCATCCCTGGAGGTGTTTCAATGCTTGACAACCTTGCTGTGAAAAAATTCTTTCTGATGTCCAGCCTGAACCTCTCCTGGCACAGCTTGAGGCTGTTTCCTCTCATCCTGTCACTTGTTCCCTGGGAGAAAAGGCCAATCCCCACCTGGCTCCAGCCTCCCATGAGTGTGTTCCCTTCCTGCCTGGGCAGGGTGAGGTAACCCAAATGTCTGTCTGAGGACACTGGGTATTTTCCCAGGCTCTGAGCAAAGAATCTGAAGTATCTAGATGAAACAACACTGCTTTGGCTGAACACCAGAGTATTGCTTAAAACATACCAAGTGATTGGAAGTGCAAGAGTGTTTGCATTATTAACTGATTTAGAGGATCTGAATCCCAACAGTGTAATGACCACGACACAGCACAAAGTATTCATCTGTGCTCCTCATTCTGGGTGACTATCAAAGCACACACGTGGATTTGGATGGTTAGTAGGACATGGAACATATCTAGTGCTGAGTTAGTTTCACTGTTGTAACAAAAATGGTTTTAATTCAGTGTTTTGTGTCCATTTCTGTTCATATCCTTTCAGTGTTTGTGGTGTACCTTAGTCCTGTGGGGATGGTCAGTGATACTCTGTTACCTTCCAGGGAACAAACACAGAAGTGAATTCAAATTCCTGGTGGATCAAGTAAATAAGAGGTGGAAGAAAGGAAGTAAGGGGAAACCAGAGAGTGTTCGAAGCAACGAAGGAGTTGATGTCAAAGAGATCCCTGCAGCCACAGGTCAGTGGTGGTCAGTACTGCTCCTCTTGAGTCTGCACCAAGGAGTGGGGAGTACCCAAAGAAGTGGTCTTTCCTCCTGCTGTTCTTCTGCTACATCCTTTAAGGAGACAAGAAAGAGCTTAAAGATCAAACAGACCCTGAAAAGCTTGACTGCATTTGATTTTAGTGTGGTACTGAAGCATAACCCACAGTAAGCAGAGGGTTAGTTTGATTTCAGCAGGTTGTGTGTGGCTGTGCTTTGTCTGGGGCACGTTTCAGTTGGTTGAGAAGAGCTGTCAGTTCCAGCCTGGGTGTGCTGCGTGTGGCAATCTCTGGATGAAGGTGATGGTGGTGCTGCTCACTGTCTGTCAGCACTCCAGGGTCATTCCTGTGAGAGGGACCATGGGGAACCACAGAGGTATTTGTGTGCATTGCATCCAGGGATTACTTGTCCCGAGGGTGAAGCAATGAAACATTTGGGCTTCTTTTAGGCTTTCTCTGTTGCCTCTCTTTAACTTGCTTTGTTTTGTGTTTGTGTACTTGAGCACAGGGAAAAGGGGGAATGCAGGGCTGCAGCTACTCACTTAATAGGAGTTAGGGACAGCATCCAGCCTGATTTTTATCCTCCCTCCCTGCAGCATCAAACATTACCTGCGTGTGCTCCCACTGTGTTCCCTGCAGGATCCTTTGATCTGCTTTGGTCTGTGCCTCATGGCTGCTTTGGCAGGGAACATCTGGCTTTGAACATGGGATTTGGGAGAATATTCCTCAACCTAATAGAACTTGTGGGTTTGTAATCTGTTCAAGATACTGAACTTTGGGGAGAATTGCACTGGGCAGACAGGGATGTGCTGTTGTCTGTGCCCTTGGGAAAACATGGCAGTGTAGCTTGCCCCAGCTCTCCCAAATCCCTGTGCTCCTTGCTGAGCTGGTCTGTGGCTCTCTCCTCTAGCAGAGCTCTCGAGAATGAAAAGGAATGAAAAAACAGTATAACAGGATGAATTTTATCCTTATCATTTCCCACAGACCTTGATGTATAATCCTCTCTGTGTGAAGGGTGAAAATTAGGGAAGCTCAAGGACAAAGTTTGTCTTGTTGGACTTAATTTGTAGTGAAGTTCCTCTTGTGTAGCAGAGGCAGTGTGTAACTGCATGGTGGGACCACAGCCTCCCAGCTCTGCCCTGGCAGGGATGGGCTGCTGTGGGTTTTGGGGCTCCATCTCCTGTGTGAGCTGTTCCTGTGTGCTCTGAGAAGCTCAAGTAAAGCCACTGAGTTTTTCCAGAAGAGTGCTCAGGCAGAACATCACTTGGATCAGGTGTATCATTCTGTGTTGTGGTACCACCTCGTCACAGCTTCCATTGCCCCTGGTGCACTGAGCTTTCAGTAACCCCTGGAATTTCAGTTCCTAGCTTTGTGCCAAACATCTGCAGCCAGCTGACTGTCTGTAAACCACTGAGAGAACAAAAGGATGAGTTAGGGGTGAAGGAACACATGCCTAAAGCTCATTTCTTCAATGTCACCTTTGTATTAAGCTGGACACAGACTCAAGCTCTGCCAGGGGAGGGTTAGGTTGGATATTAGGAAGAGATTTTTTACAGAGAGAGTGCTCAGGCATTGGAATGTGCTGCCCAGGGAGGTGGTGGATTCACCATCCCTGGAGGTTTTCAAGCTGAGACTGGATGTGGCACTCAGTGCCATGGTCTAGTGACCACGGTAGGGTTGGACTGGATGATCTTGAAGGTCTTTTCCACCCAGGTTGATTCCATGATTCTATGATTAAGTGTTTGCTAATGTCTGAAGTAAAGCTCCATCTTATGGAACGTGGCACATATCCTCAGCCTTTATTTCCCTCCTTGTTTCTGTTTGGAACTCAACAGTGAATCATTTCTGCTTCTCAGAGGGTGGGTGGGTGGTTTCTTTTTTTAACTACACAGGAAAAGAAATGAAACCGTTGAAACTGAGTTTTTTGGGAAACAAGTAAGTGGGAATGGTATTTAAATATTTATAACTTCATTTTTAACTACAAATCTATCTCCAGGCTGCAGAGTTTTAAACAGTAGTATTTTGTGTTCTCATTCTTCCTAATCTCTGCCTTTCCTCTTGGTAGAACCTGGGGAAGAGCATCACTCGGCTGTCATCCTTGGACAAGCCCAGGAACTCCAAGCAGAAACTCCCGATGGCCAGAGAGGTGAATCTCATTGTTTGGTGGAAATCCAGAGGTCAGATTCTCCTGAGTTCTTACTGTCATCTCAGTCACCAAGCAGGTTAGTGAGGAGTCTCTTCTCACTGGTTTTGCCAGGGAAAACTTTGGCAGTAACCTTGAGCAGTGTATGTATCCTGCACAGCATGGGTGCTGAGCTATGGTCATGGGTTCATCCTTCTCCTTGTTCTGGCATGTTCAGGTGCTTGAGGGATGGACCTGAAATACATTCACAATTCACTTGTAATGACTTCATAGAGCACTGATAGTGTAAATGTCCCTTTTGGGAGTGAGATGTCTGAGGGAACATCTGGTGGTTCTCTTCCCCTGCATCACCTTCCCTTCTGTTGGAAGGTTTATTTAGAGAGGTCCCCAAAATTGTTACAGCCCAAGTCTTTTGAATTAATATTGCTGCAATGAACTGTGGCTCCAGTTTCTGGAGGAAGAGTGAAGAAGTCTTTGAAAACAAATACAGAACCACTGGGTTTTGCCATGTCTAAGGGCAAGATCTTGAAAATAATCTTGCTGATAATAGGAGTGAAAGGAGGAGGCATTCTCTGCAGGTCTGCATTACTGGGCATTGAAAGGTTTCTGTGTTTTGCAGTGGGAGATACTCAGAGGAAGCAGCTGAAGGTCATCAGCTGAGCTAGGAGAGACATTTCGTAATCCCCCACCCCTCACACCCATAGCCTGTGCCTCTTCCTCCTCCTTCTGCAAGTATTAAGGATAATGTAGGGCTTGGCTTCACTGTCAGTTATTCACAGAGCAATCTAGTGGAAAAGTTGAACAGAAACCAATTTTTCTGAAGCCATTTTGCTTCACAGCTTCTCCAAAGTCATCACGAGGGTTAAAGATGTTGCCTGTCACAGAGGGAAGTGTTGGAACAGAGAGTGAAAGCTTTGGAAGAGATTGGAAAGGGGATTAGAGAGCATCAAATGGTCAATGTCTTTGTTTTCCAGGCTCAGGCTTTGCTGCCTGTTTCCATTTACTTGAATAAACTGGAGCATACAGTAAATATTTGTCAGTAAACAGCAATATTCTGGCAGGAGAGCTCTGGTGTGGAGACAGGGAGGGTCGTGGTTGCCCTTTCAGAATATCACTGCATTTCTGTTTGGCTTCAGGGCTGCATTATAGCCCCATAAAGCCCTTCCCCTCCCCTGGCCTTTCCCCTCTGTGCTGTCTGTGTCTTTCTGCCTGAGTTGCTGCTGTGAAATTGATAAACACAGCATAACAGTTTATTTGCTGTTTAATGTGTAACAGGCGGTTTGGATTAGCGCTGAGCTGGTTTGATCTCAGTTTCTTAGGATGCAAATTTGACAGTTTTTCCTTCCTTGTGATCAGAGAACTGTTCTCTTGGTCTTTTCTATACGTCTAACACAGGGCCCAGAGCTCTGGACTCATGCAGAGCTCACACATTGTCATTCCTGCCACTGCAGTGTCTCAGTTCCAGGTGTGGTGCTCTGAGCAGGTTCTCCAGCTCTCAGCAGGACTCACTGACCCACAGAGGCTGAGCACAGCTGGGGCAGGTCCAGTGAGCCTTGGGGCATCACACACTGCAGCTTCTCCTCCTTTGCACCCAACCCCTGGGTTCAGACTGCTCAAAAGAGGTGAAAACAACACTAATAGCTCAGTGAAAGCTCAGCTGTAGTGACAGGTGCTGCCTGGTGATGATGCAGGGGAGGCCCCTCGTGCCTGACCACAGTGTTCCTCCTGCCACTATCTTCCTCTAGCTTTCCCATGTTTTCTGTGTCTTTGCCATGTTTTCTGGGAAACACACAAAGGTCACAGGGATCTCTCCCTCTCTCCAAGCACTGGTGGGAGGAAACATGTACAGAAAAGAGTTAAACATGCTTTTTTTTCTTGACTGTTTGTGTTGCTGGCAGCTGCTCTGAAGGAGCAGGAGGGCTGATGGCCCAGGTCCTTTGATACCTGTTGTGCCCATGGACCAGCTTTGGACCACATAGTTCCATCTGGGACTGTGGCTTATCTTCTCAGCACAGTGCTCACACAGCTCTGGTGTACCCTGAATTATGGCCAGATTGGCAGGGGTTGTACAAAAAGTAGGTGTAGTCATGTAAACTTCACGAAAGAAAGATGTATTTTGTCAGTCTGTGGTTACTGTGGGGCTGATAATTGTGGTGGAACAAGAATGGTTTAGATGGTGAGGCTTGAGTAGCATTGTGCTATTGTACCAAGTAATGATTTTGTGAGGCTGGTGCTTGATTTCTAATAATAAGAGGATATCCTTTCCCAAGGGAAAGTGGTTCTTGCATTGAAATGTCAAAACTTGAAATAGATTTGGAAGTGCAGGTCTGCATGCTGTGTGCCTGTGGGCACTCCTGAAGGGGGGCTGGGAGGATGGGTTGAAAGAAAATGAGGATATCAAGCAGCATATGGAATATAACAGAAGAATCTACAAGGCTGTGAGTTGAGATGTTTGCTCTGCAAAAAGATGCTGCAAGGAAATCAGTGATTCTGTTTTCTCCCCACTAAGGCCTGTCCTTGTCTGCCTCAGAGCAACATTTGCCAAGGGAGCACAGTTGGTCAGGGTTAGAAATGCATCTCATTGTACACTACTCACTGATGAACTGATACTATTAAAAATTGATGCTTTAATTGAGAAACTGAAACTTTTACACCTGCTGGGGAAAAGATCCAGGCCATGCATGAAGATTGGAGTGCAACCCAAACATGCTTGGGCTGTGCAGAGATTGATGATCCCCCCAGGAGAGCAAAGTGTGCCTAACAGATAAACACCAAAGCACAGCCATGGCTTTGGAAGGGTAATTTTTCAAAGCTCTGAAGTCACAGTCACACAAAGCTTCCACAGGGTTGTGGTGGAAATAGTCCCATGGCATTCTTAGACTTTCTGGGACTGAAGCCAAAATTTTACCCAACTGCTTAAACAATAGGGAAATTATAAAAGGAACGAGGAGGGACAGTGATAAGGCAGTTAATGAGCTATGGAAAGGAAATATTCCATTAGAAGGATTTAATATAATGGAGAGAATAGGCAGGTTTTTTAAGCAAATTATTTCTCTTAAAACTTTGTGCTAGAAGCAAATGTTGCTTCTTGATGACTAGAGTGAACAACTCGAGCACAAACAAAATACAACCTTGACCTTGTCTGAGATGCTGAAACATAGGGACTGAATTTGAAATCCTGGTGGGAAAGTGCTGTATCCACAGCTTGTATAAATCCCTCTGCCACTGGAATACCCAGAGTGACTGCAGCATCTGCCAGGGGAGGGTCATGCCCAAGGAAGGGCCTCGGCCTCACTGGCAATACGTGAAGCTTTTTGGCAGTAAGTTTAGGAGCTGTTGATCAGGATCCAAGAATGGATTTACCAGGTCACTTATCCTTGGATTTATGTGCTTTGCAGAATTTGGACTTCAGTTCAGCAGCAGCAGAAGGGGTAGAGGAGCTGTGCTTCAGTTATCCAGGAGCTCCCGGGATGGCTCAGCCCCCCGAGATGTGCCTGGCAGACATGGGTTGGGCACAGCTGGCAGGACACAGAGCTGGAAACACCATGTGAGCTCTTCCCTGGCAGTTGCCTCACTCTGAGTCTGAAGGCAGCATTGTCCCACTGCCTGGCCATCACTGTCAGATGAGAGAAGTGTATGGAAATGTGCTAATCAGGGCCATTTCTGCCCTTTGCAGCTCTGCACGTTTCTGACTTAATAAATCTCACACTGCTCTGGCTCAGAGATGATGTATGTTAGTGTTAGGCAGAGTGTTTGATCTGTGGGTTTTGGCCTCAAACATGGCTTCGTTGTGGAAGGATGATGATACTTCTATGCTATGTTGTTGATTCATACTTTTCTTCCCCAAACTGTGAGCCATAACATATGGCAGGAGCTGTGAGTCTTGGTGGAGAGAGTCCCAGGGGAGTCGTGTCCTCAGATGTGCGTGAGGAAAGTGATTGCATACAGCCTGTATCCAGTTGGACATTGGTCCCTGGTCTGGAACAGTGGGAGCTGGACAGAAGTGATGTACAGCAGTGCTCCTGGTGCTTCACCCTCCAGTGGATCTTTCCCTTTTCCAAAGGCAGAGCCTCGAAGCCATGTTCTTCAGAGGAGGCTGTGGGAATCCAAGGAGGCCTGGAGAAAGTCAAGGAAAACAGTGAGGCAGTGGAACCTGTGTGAGGTTTGGTGCAGATGAGAGGCTTCTCCTCCAAATCAGGAAGCTGAAACCATGGGCACGTGGTTTAAGAGGTCTTGGGAAGCCAGGGAAGACCTTGTGAAGAAGAGTCAGTCTTGGATGTCACACAGGACTTGGTCTGCTCCAGCATCCTGTTCATCACAGGCAGGACAGAGTGGAAGCAGGATTGCAAGGTTTCCCTCACTCCTGGTGACTGGGAATTCACCTCCAAATGACATTGGTGAAATGAGACAGGCTGGAGCTCATTTCTCCTGCCAGCATTGAGGAGAAAAGTGCCCAGAGCCAAGTCCATAACACACAGTGAGATGGACAGATGAAAGGACACTTAGCTGCTCACTGCTGGGCCAAGGAGGAACTTAATCTGCTTTAAAATAAACAGATTCAAAGAGCCATTTGCTCCTCTCAGTTTTAGAACCAGACATGTCATTCACACTTACATCAGCCTTTTGTCTCTATTTTAGAGTGGTGTGTTTATCTCAGAGGAAAAAAGGGGTTGGAAGTCAAGCCCAACTGATGGTCAAGAAAGGAAGAGTTTGCGCTTGAATGATTGTCTGTGAGGGCTCAGGGAAACCAATCCTGCAAGAATGAGGAGTTGGGGAATTGCCTGAGTCACTGGAGCTTGCTTTTCCCAACATGGAGCCATGAATAAGTGCAGGAAATAAAACCTCCCCTCACCCAGTCACAGGGTGTTTGCTCCATCTCGAGCAGTTCAAGTGCAGAACTTCAGTGGTTTTGCTGTAAAAATTGACTCCTCTGGAAATGATCTGTAAAATCCTGGGAGCGAATAATGACCTTATTAAAGAAAGGGACAGAAAACCTCTTGTAGGTGTTTGTCTTGGGTTTGGAGTGTGAATAAAGCCTGAAAGTGTGTTTTGCTGTGCATGGCCTCGGTGTAGGTAGATACCTCTGGGTGTTGGAAAGGCAGAAAACATTGAAGAAATGAACAAAACGATTCCAAATTCTGTGATTTTTGTCCCTCCAGGCTAAAATGTATAGAAACACCTACAGAAGGAGGCAGCTGTTTTTTATTTCATTCATATTCTTCTGTTTGAGGGCTACTCCTTCAGTGCTATGAAGAGTTTTATTCAGGTGGAGAAAAAGAGTTCATTTAAAACACGAATTCACTTGGTCAAAATTGCTTTGCTTAGGTTAAAATGCATTTGGAGAACTGTTTTTTCAACGGTGGCATATTGAAGCATTATTTGTTTTTAATTTGCAAACACTTTTGCCCCCTGGCAAGTGGCAGAAAGGTGTGTAATTACCTCAGCTCCAAACCCAGCCGTGCTCAGGCTTTGTGGCAGAGCGGATGGCCAGGAGAGTTGGGATGCAGGGAGCTGCTTCAGTGAGCAGCTGGCAAGGAGCAGTGGGATGTTGGGAGGAATCCTGAAGGAAAACGCTTTTAGCTGCAGCTGAGAGGTTCAGAACTCTGGTTTGTACAGTCCCTCTTGCTGCAATTAGGGTGTAGGAGTTAATTGGGTTCTCTGGGGACCAATGGCCCATTCACAGCTCCACGTGTAGGCCAAGGGGGAACTCACTCCAGGACATTTTGTGCTGGGCTTTGGAAGAATTTGGTAGGCAAAGAGCATGGATTCCACATGGAAGTTGTGACCGCGCGTTATTGGTTTGAGTGTTCGCCAGAGGTTTTCACTGTGCTGTTTGCGGCGACAGACGCGGTGGGTGATGAATTATGGTAATGCTGTGGTTTCGAGGCAGGGAAGGACATCGTGTTCAGGCCTCAAACCTGTTCTTTGTCTATTTTAGGGGACTAAAAGCACACAAATAGCCCTGTGTCCTCCCCACTTCTTTTTTTAAATGTGGCTGGAACATCAGAGGAGGGTTTGGAAGGATAATAGCTCATTCCCTGGGCATCCAGTTCCTGCACTGAGAATGAGCTTTTGATGGTCTTAGAATTCTGAGATAAAAACAGTGTTGGCTTTTAGAATTTCCTCATCCATTTTTGGTATCTTTTTGATTTTTATGACTGAATGTGCATGTGTTGGAGGTTCCTCTAGTCTAAGCTGGGACCGTTTGTCCACCTGAATTCCTGTTGGCTCCACGGTTAACATCACCACAGTAACAGCTGGTGACTCACAGTCAGAGGGGAGACAAAATGGTGATGGGTGAAAAAAATCCTGCCACCTTCTAGAAGTTGTATGTCACTTAGTGATTTATTTAAGAAACACTTTGAAGAATAAAAGGTACTTTACCCTCCAAAGCATCTTGCAGATCCTCTCCAGGGAAATTGCCTGGTGCCTGGGAACACAAAGCTGTTGTAGTTACCACTAAGACACGAACAGAGAATTGTGTTGTGTGTTAAATAATGGCAATGAGACCCAGTAATGACTAAAAATGCTGTGATGCAGAGACAGAAGGACTGTGCTGTAGGTTGAAGTTAGTCCTTATTGCCAGTGCTGTTGGAGGGGTCAGGGTCATCCACAGGTTCTGCTGCTGTCGCTGAGTTGTGTCCTGCTTTGCTACAGGTGTCACTAAAATAATTTCCATCTGTTTTGTTTTCCCCTTCAGCTCTAATTCAGACATTTTGAGAGAGACAGAAGGGTCTGAGACGTGTTCAATGTCCTCTGACAGGTGAGTGGAGTATCCAAGTGCTGAAGTCGTTGCAGTGGGTTTAGGTCAGTAGTTTATAGTTGGTGGAATCCTGCATTTTCTGGAGAGGAGGCAAATGCCTCTGGAAAGTCAACATCTCAGTCCCTCAGCCATTTTACTAAGTCTTTTTTTCTGTGGTCTCTGCCCCCCATTCCCTGAATTGAATCCCTGAATCATCTCTTGTTTCCCCCATGAACCACAGCTATTTATCACTCTGTGCTGTTGGAGACTTAATCCTTATTGGCAGACAAGTAGGGTTGAGAAACCTCAGAGGGAGGTTTTAGTCCTTCAAACACAGGTGAAGTTCCTGATCCTGAGCAGCATCTTTGTCAGGTAAGTGTTAATAGTGACCTGCTCCTGGCAGCAGCTGTAGGTCTGAATAGCTCTGCTGACGTCAGTGTGTTGCTGCTCGTGGGATGGTACAAGCGCCTCAGACTTGGCAGGTTCAGGGCTTGATGAGCTCTAAATTCCACTGCCACAGCCTCTCTGTTCAGAAACTGCCTGATTAAACAAACCCTGGGCACATGGTTAGTGGTCTCAGGGATGTACGAGCTCCATTTCCATCGTGGTGGAGCTCTGAGACAGGAGTTGATGGTGTGAATCCCTTCAGTGTGTGTCTCCTGGCAGTCAGCAGCATCGGAGAGTTCTCTGTTGTTATTCTCAGTTGTGAATTCCCAGTTTAAGCCTAATGAATAGTCCCTGCAGGATGGGTTCAGCCTAGCAGATGGTATAAAACGCTGCATTTGTGAGGAATGTTTAATTAGCAATAGCTGTTGACAGATGAGTGGCATCTTTCATGTCAACACTACGTGGAGTTTGAAGCTCCGAGGCTGAATGATGGAAATCAGCTGCTTCATTTAAATACAGCTAGTCTGACAGACTTTGCTTTACAATTAACTCTGTGACTGAAAAGAAAACACTTGTTGAGATCCCAGTGGAAAATTCTTTGTCCATGAGTGAGAAGAGTGTCTGGCAAAGCTTGGGAGCCCCATGCACTTTCCTTCTGGGGTAACCCTGACCAAACCCCACGTCCTCCTCCTGTGTGGCTGTGCTGCTGCGGAGGATGGTGACTCGAGTTGGCCTTTTCTGATACAGCGTCATCATGGTTCTTTCAGTGCCAGGAGCTCTTCTCAGTCATGGACAAGAAATATGGGAGGTGGTTGCTTCTCCTTGCATTCCAAACTGGTCCCTGGGAATGGGAGAAAAGGCACTGGGATGCTCATGGGATGGTTTGTGGGTGCTGTCACCTTCTTCAAATGAGAAGACACAGCAGTTTCTCTCTCTCTATCCCTGGAAGTGTTCAAGGTCAGGTTGGATAGGGCTTGGAGCAGCCTGGTCTAGTGGAAGGTGTTTGTGCCCCTAGCAGGGGGTGGATCTGGATGGGCTTTAAGTTCCTTCCCAAGCCAACTCATTCCCTGACTGCCCATCACCAGTAACTCGTGTGTGTGTGGTGCCCACACACTGCTCACAGCACTGCAGTCTGGTGCAGTGTATGCTGTGTCCAGGGCTCCTGCAAAACCCATTCTCCTGACTTGCTGTTTCCCTTTCCCAGCAGCAGCTCTGTGGCTCGGTCAGTGAACAAGAGGAAGTTGTGTCGGCCCCAGATTCCGGAGAATCAAGCACTTTGCAGGACCAAGCGGAAGAAGAGCTAATGCTGTGCTGGTGCTGAGGGCTCAGCACTGAGAAACTGCTTGGCTTGTCCTGTCCTCAGGGCTCCTGGGTACTCACATGCTGAATTTTCACACAACTGCCACTCAAACTGCCTTACTGCCCGGGCTGGTGGGTTTGTCCACAGCACTGAGGGTCATTTGCTTTCGAGACTGGGCACAGAGTGCCAGAGCCCTGTGGGAGCCTGTGCTGGTGGCTCCTGTGCCACCATGCTCTGCCCTTCTGGAAGCAGTTGCAGGACAGTGTTTTGCTTGGGGTTGGGCAGGTGCTGGTGCCCTAATTCTCTGGAGCAGCTGAGGGCTGCAGGGGGATTCTGTCATGCAGAAATAGGCTTTTTTTTACCTATATCCACGTAAACTTGCTCAATGTTATGTGTCATTATTTCAGTCTGAAATCATGAATTGGAAAGAAGTTAAGAGGTCTTTGGACACCAAGTATTCTAGCTTTAAAATAAATAGTAGCATTGAAAAGTGTGATCTTTGTGAGGACGTGGTAGAGTTTTGTAATGGAGTAAAGCAATGCAAGCAAATTAAAGTCAACCTGAACACCAGGGGAGGTGTTAAAAATGCACCTTGTAAGCAAAATGCATCCCATGAAAAATCCTCACAGCTGCTTTGGTTGGAGCCTGTCAGGAGAGCTTGGCAAAGAAGGCACAAAATCTGTGTGAGATTGAGGGTTGGCTGTCTCTTGACTTCACTGGGATTGGGACTGGCTGTTTGACTTTCAGGAATATTCCTGCTCAAGCTGTGCTTTTTGGGAATGTTTGTGTTTAGAACGGGCTAAATCCTGGTGAGTATAAACTGTCCTAACTCCATGAGGTGAGGAGGTGCAGAGGCAAAGCAGGAACCTGAATTTATTTGGTTCTTCATTACTAAACCAGTTGGGAATTGGGGCATTGAGGTAACGAGGCAATCACTTGGTGTAGTAAGAGAGACAGTACAGCCATGATATGTTAAATATGGACATGAATCAAACTGGTTTGCTGACAACCTTTGGAGGTTAATTTCTTTCTATCACATCTTGTTGGAGTCACCATTTGAAGTCCAAACTGGTGATCTCTGCCTGAGATGGGGCTGTTTCCCTACCCTTTTGTGAGGAGTTGGGAGTGGTGGTGGTGTGGAGGTGACAAACCTGAGTGAGGTGTGTGGACACCTGACACAGTGGTCAGGGTGCTGGGAGAGGCTGCACAGAACAGACACACTGGACCATGTGGAGGCTTAGGGAAAACACATGGATTTGATGGTCTGATGCCTCCTGTTCCCACTCCAGTGGAGCAGATCCAGCAGGATCCAGCCTGTCCTGCTGGACACAGTGCCAGGACCAGCCCCAGCCCTGGACGAGAGCTGTGTCCAGCCTTTGTCAGGAGTGGCTGCTGCTCCCCTGGGTGCCATCAGTGACTGCTGCTGCACATCTCCCCAGGCCTGGATTCACAGACATGGGATAACGTCAGGGAAAAAACAACAATGGCCAAGGAAACGCAGTGTCCTCCCTGCTCTGTCCTGTATCCTCCTCGCACTGTCCTGAGTTCTCCCCACTCTATCCTGAGTCCTTCCCACACTGTCCTGAATCCTCCCCATACAGTCCTGGCCCCTCACTCCCCTGGGCAGCTCCTCCATCCCTGAGTCAAGGGTCATCTGGGAGCTTGTGAACTGCCAGGCTGGGGACAGCAGGCACAGCAAGAGGACCCAGAGCAGCACCTAGCAGTGGTGATGCACAGTGAGATGCTCCTCCTGCCTCAGCATTGCCACAGCTGAGCATCTCTGAGCTGCAGCCCCAGTGAGGGGGGAAGGCAGAAACTCCCCACTACTGGGGATATGAAGTGAGTAACTGAAAAGTGAGTGCATCCTCCTGACACCTCTCACTTGGGTTGGTTTGAAATGGTGTCAGTCACATTCTGTCATCACTCACAGCTAACACTTTGTGCTGGGCAGTGCAGGAGTGTGGGATCCAGAGGACCTGCTGTCCCTCCTCACTGCGTCCAGCCCCTCTGTAGCCATTCCCAGCCAGCAGGGTCGAGGCAGATCCTTGGCAGCTGTGGCTCCCAGGGGAACTTTGAGCAGGGCAGAAGCTCCCAGGGGACCAATACTGGTGGTGCTGGCAGCCAGGGCTATGTGTGGGGGCTGCCACTGGAAAGCTTTGGGAACGGCTCCTTTGGGCAGGGAATCCATTCAGGAGGAAATGAGTTTAGTCACGGAGCAGTCCCTCAGGCCAGGGCAGGAGGGCAAAACTGGAAACAAAATAATCACAGAGACAGAACAAATGTCCTGTTCCCCCAGCCCAGCAGCAGAGCCGTGTGAAAGGCAGCGGTCCTGGGGTGGAGGAGCAGCAGGAAAAGAGTCACCCTGAGGGGCATGGGGCTCCCCATGTGCTCCCACCCCATATCCCTCTCCAAAACGACTAGCTGGGAGTTACCTGGATTTGCTTTGCTTTGCAGGTGATAGGGAGTTTCTATCAGATTGTTTTGCCAGGCAGGAATGTCTTTGGAAGCAAAAGAAATTGCCCCAGACTGACACCCAGAGTTGGGAGCTGCCCCATCTCCATGTCCCTGTGAGTGACCAGGGCCAGACGTCCTGGGAAGGGCTCCCACACCCCTGGGATGGTCCTGCAGCAGCTGGGGTGGGTAGGGATGGGGTCCCTCGTGGCCACTTCTCCACGGGCTGTACTTGCTGGCAGGAGGTAATAATAAATGGTCTTTGGTTTAAGGAGTCTGTTTTGATATATGAACAGCCATTCTGGAATTGAACACCTTAGCCTGGTGCAGGAATTGCAGCTGAATCATCCTGTTACCTGCTGGGCAACCCAACACCAGGATCTGCTGTCCAGAGGAAAGAAGAATTGTGGTCCTGTTTCACCTGGAGGTGGAGGAGCTGCTGGGAATGCTCTGAAGGACAGGGCCTGAATTCAGAAGGATTTGGACAAATCAGTGAGTTGGCTCCAAATCAGCCACCTGGAATTAAATAAAGAAGGATGAATTACCAGCTCTAGGAAGGAGAAGGTAAACACATTACTGCAAATGGGGAGTAATTAGTGAGGCAGAAAAGTTTGTCTAAGTGTAGCTGGCTTCATTTTCAAAGGGAATGCTCAGTGCCCTGGTTAATGATTTGGCCCCATAGCTGCATTCCTGGGCTGGGGGCTGCACCTGGTGGGAGAGGAATGGGGTGGGATGTGCAAACCCCTCACCTGGTGCCATTCCCATACACCTGCTCATGTGCTCACACACATCCACTGAATGGTCCTGAGGAGTTCTGCAGCCCCTTCCCTGCCACTCAGCAGGGATTGTATTGATGAGCAGTAAAACGGATTCACTTTACATA